GCCCGGGGCAGGGGCTGGCCCAGATTTTTCGACAGGCGCACATAATGGCCCGGCGGGCGCCATGGCACTCGTGGGCACCACGTTGGGGACCACTCCTATAGAACAATCCGTGGCAGAGGAAGGACCAAAATTACCTATAATTTTTCCATTTTTAATTTCTGTGATTCATGCACTACCCTATCCCCTCTGGAAAATGGAGTACAAATATCATGATAGATCGCAGCTGAGCAAAGATTTGATACGTCTCATCACACAATTTGGCATGATTAGCAGCCTCTGCTGAAGGAAGGGGCAGCACAGAAGCAGTAATGTGTTACAGAGGTGAATGGGAATACAGCCAGAGCTGTGTGAGGAAAGCCTTTAACAGAGCTTACTTGTTTGCTTGAGTTCATCAATAAATCCCTCATTTCAAGCCAATCCAAAATCCATTGAAGTCAATGGAAATATTTTCATTGATAGCAGTGAATTTTAGCTCAGCCACTTCACAAAGGAGCCAGCTATCATCAGTTAATTTTTTTTAAAGGTAAAGAAACAAACTATCATGCACATAAAATGTTCCATAGCTGTGCAAATGCCCATAGTCTGTCTTGGAGATTGAAGTATTTACATGCAGCCTAAAAAAGGCAGTTTGAACAATGTCTACAATGGAAAAGGTGCTTCTTCACCAGTTGCAAATTATTCACTGAACAGTGAATTTTCTTTCTCTCTCAAACACTTGGTAAAGTGCACTGGGTTTTTGTTTTGATCGGGTCTGCAAAATGAATGTCCATTATCAGCTTCCAGCAAAACTCAAAGGTGAGAAACCCAAGGAGGGAAGGGTGGAATGAAAGGAGAACATTGAGCTTCGATTTTTCATGTAAGTTCGTGCTTAGGTGAAAGTGAAAAATTAAAAAAAATGTATCAATGAAAGCCCTGGACGCCATAATTAGCCAGGAGTGAAGAAGAGCTTATCCAAGGAGTTCAAAAGGCATAGTAAGTATGTCTGGGAGTTCAGACATTTTAAGCATCCTTTTTTATTGCTTTCAGGAGCAGTGTCTGATGGTTTGATCATACCCAGAGTTCTGTTGTCACACAAGCAAAAAATTCCACCCAGAACTGCTCCACTGTCAACAAAAAGTATTTACAGTATGTACAGAAGGCTCTGACAAGAACAACCCATTGCAGACTTGCTAGAAGCAGTTGTAACTTCATCTGCTGTGATGGAGAAGGAAAAAACATAAACCAGATCTGGAATGGCCGGGCCAGGTGACTAACTGTACATTTTCTCATTTCAGATGCCTTGCCTTTTCATTCATTTGCAGCTTGACAAGTCTCTTCTCATGGGAAAGCTTGAGTGTATTAAGTTGTAGTTCATCATGGAAATATTTGACGTCAAGGACTAGGTGTTATTAAGGGGATCAGTAAAGAGATATGGAAACTTTCACTGCCAGAATAGAATTGGTGGCAGTGCCCTCAGTCAACTCTTAGTAAACCAGGAGATGTGTCCCAGTTGGCATGCATTGGGCATCTTGTCATTAGTCTCAGCTGAGTGGAGAAGCACTAAATGGAACAATCCATTCAGTTCTCTGAGGCAGGGTTGGTTGGAAAACAACAATTCCATTTTGCAAGAGACCAGGTTTTGAAATGTGTTTTTGTTTGGCCTTGGAATGAAAGGCCAAAACCATGAGAGCCAGAACGGTGAAAAGCACAGTGGCTGGAACAAGCCTCTTGAATGCAGAAAATCCAGGTTCAACCCCTTTTCTCTCCCCCCCATTCTGCCAGATTTCAGTGAAACACTTCAGTTTTGCTGGCCTGGGCATTTTAGGACAGGATGACCATTTTCCAACCAGCTGGAGGCAGAGTGGAGGCCAGGTATCTGGGGAGAAGGCAGAGCATGCTTACCCTGCCATTGTCTGTGCTGCAGCTGTCTATAAGGATAAACCAAAGACTTCAGTTGTTCAAACTGTCCTTTTAATTTCACCAGCATGGAATTGTCTCTCCTAGTAAAATTGCTGTCCCTGCAAACCTGTTTACATGCAGCCCAACCAGAGCGAACAAATCACAGAGCTCGGGGCTCCCCATACAGGGCCGGAGTAGCTTTGATTTCACTTGAGCACCTGAAGTTATTTGTAATTATGGCAGAAAAATGCCAGTGATCTGTGGGCTGCTGTAATCCAACTCTCTGGGCTTATGGGGGTGGTTACCAACCGGTCTGGACCCAGGCTGGGGCCTCTTAAAGGGGCAGGCCTAGGACTGCTGCCCTGCCCGGAACTGTGAGCTGAGAGACTTGAGTCTCTATTGAACTTCTTCCCCTATGGCCCGGGCCTGAAGCAAGGCCAGGCATGTGAACTATTGACCCCTTCTACCCGTCCTGGGCAAGGCCCAACTGTGGGACTAGAGACTTGGGGGCAATTGACAGGGGCTGCGCAGTGGGTCAGGCATAGCGTCTAGGACTGCTGCCCTGCCCGGAACTGTGAGCTGAGAGACTTGAGTCTCTATTGAACTTCTTCCCCTATGGCCCGGGCCTGAAGCAAGGCCAGGCATGTGAACTATTGACCCCTTCTACCCGTCCTGGGCAAGGCCCAACTGTGGGACTAGAGACTTGGGGGCAATTGACAGGGGCTGCGCAGTGGGTCAGGCATAGCGTC